AGGAGGCTGCTGCAGAGGGGACTTTTTCTGAGGGGGAAAGCCAGCTTCCAGTAGGACATTTAACGGAATAAATAAATAAATGGATAAATCCAGGCTTGCATTTAACAGGGGCTCGAGCTGCAGGTCCATACGTGCTAGCACTAGGTGTTTAAGGCAACTTGTTTGAAAGCACATCAGCATCAATCATTGTCTGCTGCTACTTGAAAAACAACGCTGATAGACTAGCGGGGAGCAAAGCTTTCTGCCTGCCTCCGCAGCATGCTGCAATTCAATTAGTCATGGTCAGAGGGTGGCATTATTATTCATACATTACTGATTGTTCCCAAAGTAAACAGCGCGAGGATGGGGTCTGTGATCCTCTCCGTGCCCTTAGCCAGGACACAAAGGGAAATGCGATGCAGACCCTGGGGTGGGACGTTGTTTGCAAACTTCACAGTCAGATCGCGCTGGTTTTCATCCTCCTCGCAGATAAGTGTCGGTGTATGCATACAAAAAAGCCCCGAGATATTTTACCCAAGTCAGTTCTGTGATGGTTTCTCTTAGCACTGATAACTTTTTTTTAAAAAAAAAAAAAAAAAAAGCCACATGCTAATTTTAGATAGGACGGATAGCTTAAACTATGCAAATACAAACCCTGTCACCACAGAATATAATAATGATCGACAGCTTAGCAATTAGCAGTAAATAACCGCACTATGCAACACAGCAATATCATTTGCATGCTCGCAAAATAGTCACCCAAAGCAGTAATGGCCTATGAAGCCATCTGTTTATCAGCGGTACAGCGGTGAAAGCCAAAGCATGCGCGACACGAAGACTGACCGAAGTATTGGGGACTGACTTCTGTCCTCGCTCGCTCTCGGGGCTGCGGCAGCGGTCGGAGCTGTGCTCCCCTCTGCAGCAGCTGGAGAAACCTTCCCCTGCCACAAACATAAGGAAGAGGGCTCCTGACAAGATCGCTAATTGCTTGACACCTTTCCGTCTGTCCCCCCCTCGCCCCCCTGCTCAGTTTATCACCTCTGCTAATGGTGCAAATTACCGCCCAGGCTGATTTCCTCGCCTTGCCCGCTATTTAATAAGCGAATGCAGAGCTGTGGGGAAGGGGGTGAGTGTAGCCTGCAAAGCAGCGATGAGCTCGCAAGAGGTCATGGCACTGGCGAAGGCAAAACTCCTGCCCACCCGCGTCAGCATCCACTCTCCTGGTGATGCTGCAGAGCAAAATACATGGAAAAATATATGGAGCTGTGATGGGCAGATGTGGAATAATCAGTAGCTCTGGGAAAGTCTGGTACTAAAGAAGAGGTTTCGGTGTACGTCGGTGCCCTGGTCCGGCACAGCATGTGGGCATGTGCCAGTCTCAAGTGTATGATAGTGTTTAAGGGCATGAATACCCGCAGAGTGAAATCACATTACAATGAATAGAATGAAATTAAATACAGTCACAATTAATGTAGACATCGCCTATGCAGGTACTTATGATACGTATGACATATGTATCAGAAAATCTGTTTTCATACATTCAGGCTTAGCTTGATTAAAGGCTAAATGGATTTCCAGCATTGAAAAATACAGCACTTCCCATGCTAGGTGAATGCGGAAGGGATTTATATGTCCTGATGTATTTAGCAGACTTGCAAGCTCCTCCTTAATCTTTGTGCTTCAGAAGCATTGATGAAATATTCTGCCCAAATAGTCTTTTCTTTTCGGGCAGGGGGCTTGAAATGCAGATGGTATTTCTTCTTGTCACATCCAAATAATAAAAATAAACTGTAAGAATTTATAGAAAACTAGTCTTCTCCCTAGAACCATCTCCTGGCTTCTCCCGCGATAGGGATGCTGTCCCCAGTGCAGCTTCTCCTCCACTTCCTGGCAAACCCCTCCTCCAGCCCACTGATGTATTTGCACAAAACTTGAAGGAGTGTGATCTACGAGAGAGCCCTACTGCCTCTGAAGTTATTACAGGGACTGATGGGCAACCACCCTGCGAATCAGCGTATTTGCTGCATTTCCTCAGGGAAGCGGGCTGGCTACAATAAAAATGAGTTCTTTCATAACTGCTGCCCCACGCGCTTGACAAAATTCAGGCGCAAGGGAGGAAGATTGCTTTGGGCAGGGCAAGGGCGAAGACGAGCTTCCTGCTGCAGCTGTCCAAGGAACCTAGATTGAGTGAAGAAGTTGTGGTGGTCTGCGGTCAACATCTTCCAGGCGCAACAGCAGAATTATTGATGTGGCTGCACCATTTCTGGGAGGACACGCAGCACATAGCTTACACATGACAAATCCCACCTGAAGGAAAATCACCACCTGATACTCCAACGAACTCTACTTTTCCTGTTTTTTTTAAAGAAAGAAGAGACCATCTTCGCCATCTCATTGATATTCTCCCCCTGCTCTACTCCCCTTCCAAAGGACCAACCCAAACGTAGCAAGGGAGCAGCCGCAAACCTCCCGAAATGACAGATGCAATGCCTGGTGTCAGTCAGTGGCGTTACTTTGCATAGTGGTACTGTTCTGGCCCCTTGACAGCTTGATTTAAGGCCGCCCTTGCTTGTCGTGTTGACATGACAACTGTGGGATATGTCGTAAATATCCCAGGAGTGGACAGGAATTGTGGGGCTGGATTGTACGGGCAGCATTGTACGACATGTGGCTGAGCCCTCAGCCCGTCCCGGCGGCCGAGCAGGGTTCGCTGTGGTTTTGTTTGGAAAAGAAAGAAATAAGAAAGAAAGAAAGAAAGAAAGAAAAATTAAAAAGAGTAAACTTTATCTTTGGTTGATTTTGTAACTCTTCGCCGTTGCGGGATCACTCATGGCCATCAAGGACCCAGCCGGCTGAGAGCCATCAATCAACCAGTGGGTTTCTTAAAGCCTCAGAGGTATCTACTCCCCCTCCCCAAGGCTGAGCTGCTGCAGAAGGGAAGCCAAGGCTTTCCAAGACCTGAAGTGGAGGACAGGCTTTTAAATCTGGGCAGGCAGGATGGTGAGAAAGAGCATTATCAGAGTGAAGACTTGACCTAAAGCCCGTCAAAACCAGGACAGGGTCTTACCAAGCTCCATGCGTGGTCCTGCTAGTTACAAGACCCTTTGGAGCCAGGTTTTGGGGAATGTTGGACCACACAGCCTCTCCCAGCAATCCCAAATCCCATTGATGTTATTGGCCTGTTTCTGGCCTCAGTGAGTGTGGAGTATTGGTTGAATGGCTCCCACCATGGTCACCCTATCTACCCCACTGGAGCAGCCGCATCCCGGCAGACCGTGAGCAGAAGATGGAATGAGGAGGTCCCAGCGGCACAGACAAGGGTGCCTAGTGCCACTCTGCCCCGTTACATGGCATCTGAACATCTTCATGGTACCTGGAAACAAAGATTATAAATAAAATGGCACAATTGATACAAAACACAATTTTCCAAAGCGACGGTATTTGAGCAGTGAGCTGTACCAGAGCCACAGAGTTTCGTGATTTCCTGGACTTCTGACACCATTCTGGGGTAAAACAGATCAGTCCGTGCTTGGAGAAATGCCTCGGTCATCATCTTCAAAGCTATACACTCAGATTGAACCAGTTTAAAGCCCTTTTCTCAAGCTAGCATCCATGGAGGGTGACATTCCCATTCTGTTATTTTCTCTTAGGTTTGGAGTTTATAAAGCAGCACACACACATATTGAGTTTCGTTTCAAATTGAAATGAGACATTATTGAAACAAAGGAAAAGTTTCCTCTTCTCTCCCCCCATTCTTTTCTGCTATTATACACAGTAAGACAAATGATGGGCAAAAGCTCCTTCCCACTTTTTCCTTTTCTTTTTTTCCCTTTGTAATTTTGAAAAAAGACCCCAACTTGAAAGGAAGATGAGCCAGAGCTGCAAGGGAACAAAAACCATCAGCAACTCCATCGCTGGGATTTTAAAATGTTTAAATGCACCAGGGTTACAAGGGAACAATCTCTGTCATTTCTAAAGTTTCCCTGAGCTTGAGGAGCTGCGGAAAGGAAAAGAGACGAAGGGAAAAAAGGGGGCAAATAATAACAGCTCCTAAATATGAAGCATCAAATGTGAAAAGTGAATTTAGACTCAAAATACAGATTTGTTTTTAGGACAATTCATTCAGCAGAAGGTGTTTTCTGCCTTGGTCTCTGCAGCTGCTCCCCTGAAGATGAGCTGATCCTGAGCCCCTCTCACAGGACATGGCGGCCTCATGTCCCCCAGCCCAGTTATTCATGGTCTTGACCAACAGAGCCTGACAAATGAGTTAACCTTGATCCAATCCAAGATGGGCATGACTTCACTGGGAGCTGTACAAGGGCTTTATTGCTACCCCTACCCTCCCTACCAACAGCCCCAGAGAGCCTGAAGTCATCAAAGCACCCAGGCACCTAAAATCCCACCCCATACCAGTTCGCTTCCCTGCAGCACAGGGTGAGAGACCCAGTGGGTACCATGAGCATCACACCTAAGGTCCCTTCCAGCCCACCCCACCTGCAACAGCAAGCCGAGGCAGATGCTCCAGGGAGAGCAGTCAGAAGAGGGTGAGCACATGAGGTTCCCTTCCCAAATATTCCTTGAGCTTCAGAAAGGACCTCTTGAACCAGAAGCAGTTTGTAAATATTTAGTAACTCTGTGAACTTTTCCATGAAGCCTCCCCTTGCAATGCTGATTTATTCCAACCCCTTCTAAAGTTCCTTCTGCTCCTGCAGCCTGGTCCTCTTGAAGCGACCCCTGATGCTGTGAGTGCCAGAGCTCCCATCCTGTTTTTGCATAACCTCTCCTTGATGTGGTGCATCAGCTCTGAGCTCGGCTGCTTTCAGCGTGGCCGCTGCCTGGAAATTTCAGCGTGGAAAGGTGTTTGCGTGGATGGGTGGGTTTAATACCTGCCACCTCACCCTTTTGGGTCATCTCATAAATCTTAGCTGAATATATTTACTAATGAGCAAACTGTAAATGTGATGGGGAAGAGCATCCAATCACACCACCTGTTAGAGCATCACCCCTTTGCGTAGGGCGGCATGGTGGGGCATGGAGCCACTGAAGGCAAGGACCATGGGAAATCCCAGGAAGGACCTCTAGTACTGGCCAGGGTGACCACCTCCATCCCACCACCTGGTATGTAAGTGGCTTGCCGGTACTTACAAGCAGAAATCATAAATGCAACACTAGTCCTTCCTTTCCTTCTCAGATGCTGGGAGAAATGTCTTGATTAGTTTTTGTTTGCCTGTTTGCTCGGGTTTGTTTGTTTGTTGATGTGTGTTGTGTATTTGTAGGTGTGTGTAGGCTTTATTGACTGAGCGCTAAGTTGACGCATAAGTGGGGTTATAGGGAGGCATCAAGGAGGAGAAGCAAGCTGGCTGGATTGATAGATATGGCATTTACATTCTCCGTTCAATCTGCATCAGCGAGGAGGGTCACTGCAATATTAGTTTTGAATGAGATGTACTTTGTGGAGCTGCAAGGAAGCCACAGGCACAAGACTAGCAGAGTGAAACCCTTCAGCCTTCCCCAGAAACCCCCAAAACCTGGCCAGAACCACCACCATGGTGACCTGACCGTGTTTGTCCCGTAGGCTGGTGGGAGGAGAAGGGCAAGGTCGCAGGTGATGGGCTCATAGGTTGTGGGGCTGCCTGAGACAATCCTTGCCATTGCCATCGCTATAGCTAGCGCCATTGCCATTGCCATCGCCATCGCCATCGCCATTGCTGTAGGAGTGCCAGGAGAGCTGGGGCGGCTTGGTGAGCACATTGCCTCCGCTCCGCTTGGGGACAAGTGCTGTGCCAGGAAGCTCGTCTCTGTCTCCCTGCCCGACTGCCCGTGCAGCGGTGGGGGCTCCAAGCTGCGCTTCAAGAGCACTTATCAAGTTTCAGGACCCAGAAGGTAAATAAAAAGCACATTTTTTTAAGATTTCGTACTTACCAAACCAGTCCGGAGCTTTTTTCCTTTGAGGTTTGACTTGAGGTTTTTAATGCCTACTGGGTGTAAGGAAAGGAAGATGAAGGAAGACAGAAAAAGATTACTTTAATTGTCACCTGTGCCCTCTCCCCGGTGGGACAGGCAGGAGGAGGGGGTGCACCCAGGAGGAGTGCTCCCCTGTCCCAGCTTTCCCTGGGCAAACGGTTCCTTTCCCTCTCTGCCCTCAATATGTAAAAACAAGTTATTCATGCACGGTTTGTGATTTGGCTACTTCCACTTTTGGCTATCTTAACCCGAGACTGGCACCAGGGGTCTGGCTCCCAAACAGCCCAGGAAAACCAGCTCCAAAATGGTGCCCAGCACCGAAAAGCAATACCACGAACAAAAATAACGTCAAAAGGCTGAAAGATAAAAGCAGGGCAAGTCAACGTAGATTCATCCCGCTCGCACTGCCTCCCTCCTGATTTACATCAACTCAGCGCTTGAGCAACAAATATAAAATAAATATCCTCCGCGTACAACTATGTATTATACAGGTGCGTGCGTGGGCGAGCGTGGGGGTCGCAGCCTCCGCGCAAACGGGCAACATCTGCAGCTGCCCCCAGACAGACAGACAGACAGACAGATAGTCTGATGTGAATTATTTAACACAAAGTGCCGTGACCTCTATTAACAAAGGGAGATGCTTCCAGACCTGCGGGCAGCACCATGGGAAGCAGCTGGATCCAAATCAATCTAATTGAAGACGGGCCTGAATTTATTATAGGAGCTGGTGGCAAGCATCCTGTTGAGGATGCTGGTGGGGGGGGAATAGATGCCAGTACAGTATACTCCTTTTAGCTCAGCTGGAAAGATCATGGCCATAAATTGTGCTTAAGCAAAGGCTCAGCAGCTGAGCGCGTCCAGACGTGCACGCACATGTGCCGAAAAAGGGGGATTGCTTCGTGCTGGGGCGTTTTGGTAAAATAAAATTATCTTGAAATTTCCTGATTTTTTTTTCTTTTTTTCTTTCCCCTTCCCCTTCCTCTGTAATCAAAAGAAAGAACTGAAAGAAACGTGCACTTCAAGGCTTTAAATCTGAAACTTCCTAATCCCCTGAAGTCCACACTAGACTTCTTGCCTCCATGGAAACCCCAAAGCATTCATCCAAGTGATTGGCCTCCAATGAATTTTAGATAAGACAGAATGGAACGGAATTGATGTGATTTTAATGCAGAAGAAAGCGGTGGAAGGGAGGTCCACTTGGTTCATATTTGAATAAAGCAAACATGACAGACAAAAGGCTGACAGCTGTAAATGACATTGTCAGTACAAAAATTATCAGCCAGTTTACAATCTGTTTGCTTATGTTGAACAAACAGAATGTGTGTGGCATCCCTTGGCTTCATGAATGGCAGAAATACTTGCAGGCTCCGGAGAGAGGCAGATATCTGTTCCCTCCCAGCCCTCCCACTATAAGATATCCATTTGACAGCCGCGCTGAAAAGGAAAATTCTCTTCTCTTTTTTTTTTCCCCTTCTCCTCCTGCTTTTTTCTTTAAATTTTTTTTAGGTTTTGTTGGGTTTTTTTGTTGTTGTTGTTTTATTTTTTTCTCTCTCTCTCCTCTTTCTTTGCCTGAGTTGTGGGGTTTTTTTGGGGGGGGGTTGTTTTGTTCGAGGGAGGGGAGGGCTGCAGCTGGGCAGAGCCCGCGCCGGTGCGGCAGCGGTGCTGGATGAAGCCGTTCGGCGGCTCCGGCATTCCAGGCACCAAACCTGCCGTTACCTTAGCGAAAGCTCTGGCCGAACATGCCTCCAGTTTCTTTTCTTCCTTTCTTTCTCTTCCTGCCGGGCGCGGAAGGCAGGTCCCGTCAGCTCCTTTTGGGGACGGCACTCTTGCGGCATTGCCTGGGCAGCCTCAAACCCCTTTGCTTTTTCATTCCCCAGACCAGACAAAAAGTTAGCACCCCCCAAAATGTTAGCTGCGACAAAAAGACATCTTTTTAATTTGGTCACAGGCTTAATAAAGTAGCGATCCTCCTCCTCCAAAAGGTCCACAGCACATATGAAACGAGTTGTGGGGTCTCTGCTTAGTGCTGTGGGGTTTTCAGGGCGTAGAACCCACCCCTCTTGGTTCATAAAACCCATATTTATGCCCTCAGGTGCTAAATATCTTCCTTTTCTTTTTTTTTTTTTTTTCCCCCTGGAGGATTTCTATTGTCATGCTGCGTCCTTGGTTGTGTTTCTCTCTCCGTTATTTTACGGTCAGACTTTGCAGAAGTTCTTGCCCAAGGGCCGTCCAGGCCCTTACCCCCAGCCCATCCTCATGGCATTGGGCCGCGTTCGCACCTGCACAGCTTGCGACTCCTAGAAACAAGCTGCCTACCAGCGTAATATAATCCTTCATTAAAAAGCAACCGAACCCGAAAGCCCACCTTCGGGTTTCCTTTTTGCCCTGCCAATCCTCCCTGTTTTATTCCGTCCTGACCTGAGCCTTAAAGATAGAAGGAAACCTGATGGCTTGCTGCAGTGAATCAAGTCCCCTTCTTTTATGTAAATGTAAGGGGGGGGGGAGGGGGGGAACCCACGCCAGAATTTGTTTAGTGGCACTTGGCTTGTTTGATCAGAGGGGAAAAAATAATGACAGGTGAGGACGGTCTGTGCGGGGCAGATAAAGGGACTAGAACAACACCGGGAGAATACGGCAATTGCTTTCCGGGCAGCCAAGCATCCAAACCCAGGCACTCATATGAAAAGTTTATCCAATTATGGCAAACCGGATGACGCTCGTTATGTTGTGTTACTCTTTTCATTTTAATCTAAATTGCTGTTTCTTTCTCTCTGATATGGCAATCGGTCATAAAGGGTTGACCACCATTAAAGCTGTTTGATTTGGAACCCTGTAGTGTTTGACTAAGAGGGTAAATGCAAATTTGATGAAAGAATAAGGATAAATTTACATATCAGCTTCAGCTCACATGGAGAGAGTAAACATTCTGTTTATCTCAAGTGTCACTTTATGATTTCAGTAGAATATAAAACTGACCTTGGTCCAGACATTGCAAAAGACCTGAATGAAATATATTGTTGTCTAAATACAATTTACTCAAGTAGAAGTTGTCAGCAAACCCGGCGTAACTCAGCAAACAGGGTTAGACAGCAGGGTCGCCGGGACAAAATTGTTCCGATCGACTCCGAAATGAAAATCTCCGCGGCTTTGTAGCCGGCAAGCGGGTGGGAAAGGGAAGGAGCCTCCCCTGCCGAGGCTGTTCCCTAAATCACGGCTCCTTCTTCCAGCCGCAAGCTCAAGGGAAAATCCGAGGAGTTGCAAACTCCGTGCTGCAGCGGGCGGGGGGCATTAATGCGGGGAGGGCAAATTGATTTGGCCAAAATTATGTTAAAATGCTGCATTTGGCATTTTGATTTTTTCCAACTTTTTTTTTTTTAACCTCCTGGCTGTTACTCTTTCACTCTCCCTAAATTTACACTCATGCTTTACCCAACTTCACCTACAAATAACTGCACTTCAGGTTGCACACATAATTCGACAGCCCTTTCTTTCTTTTCTGCTGCCCTGGGGTTTGTAGTTGCGGGGAAGAAATATGAAACTTTAATGGTTAATGGGAATTCTTCCACTGCACAGAAATACTTCCAGCCTTTTTAAACTACACTGAGCGGTTTTTTTCCCCTGCTCCATCAAATCATCCAAAAGGAAAAATAAATGTAGAAAGGAACGGAGATTTTCTCCCGCCGTCAGCTAAGCGATGCCTAATAAAGGGTCAAAACGCAGAGCGTGATGCTTAATGAATGACTTTGTGTATTTAACAGAGAGACGAGCGAAAATGACTGAACAAATAAATAAGAAAGTAGTCGGAACAGACACACAGAAGCAAGAGGACGCATAATCTATTTTTCCAGGTAACTAAATAGATCGGCTGTTGCAATGATGCCGTGGGCTCTCCCCCCGAAATGCCGATCTGCCCGCAAAGCACGGGACCAGGATGGAAGGAGCAGACGGCGAGCAAAGGGCTCTGATTGGGCTCCATACGGACCCCGGGCAAGGTAAAAAGGCCGGAGGGCCCCCCTGGGCTGGGGAAGGCAGGGAGGGCAGGGGTCCTTGGCGCCCCGGCGGCAGCCCCGCTGGCGGCTGGTCCTGGCAGAGCCCGGGCACCGGCGTCTGCGGCTCCAGCCCTGTCCCCGTCCCCGTCCCCGGGAGCGGCGTGGGCTCAGCAGAGACAAAGGCTGGAGGGGAACAAAAGGCAGAGGGAAATAAAGGCGACTCGTGCGGGGTCGTTGGTCTTGCTGCGGATGGGGTTGTTAGTGGGGTTTGCTTATTTGTTAGTAGAAACAGCTATATTTTAATGCTTATTTTGACTGCCTAGAAATTGCGTTTGCAGGGGCCGGATCGTAGGAACTGTTCGCCTGTCGGTGCTACTCCTCAAGTGGACCCTTTGCTCTCAGACAGTACAAACATGGGTAAAACATAGCAAGTCTGGGTGATGCCCCGGTTCCCCCAGGCTCTGGTGCCCACACCACTTATTTGGGTCTGATTTCCTGCTTTAACCACAGCCCAAACCGCATCTGTAACGGCAACATTCGGCAATTGCCATTTACCTGGGCTCAGAACGCATTTAGGATCCTTTTTTAATTCACGAGCATCGATTTAATGAGGGAACCTTGCAAAGCCGAAAGGCCTCGTGATACCATGTGGGGACTGTTTCAATCCCCCTCGGGGAGCCGCGGGGCAGGGATGGGTGCGGAGGCAGAGCCCTGAGACCCGTCAGCCCGGGGTTTGGCCCCTGATGTACAGGGGAGAGACCGTATGGAGCTACAGCCCCTGTGCACCGCTTGCTTCAGAGCTCCTAGGCTAATCCCTCAGTAGAAAACAGAAAAAAAAAAATATAAAAAAAAATCAGGAAAAATAAACCAAAGCATGTGAAAAAAAAACCCAGGGAGAGGCGGCTCTTCCCCGGGACAGCCCTGTGCCCT